CAGCTCAGCCCACCAGGGGGCGGGGCTGGCTGGCATGTGGTGCTGGGGGATTGAACCGCGGTCCCTGTGCTTTGCTAAACTTGTTCTAAGTAGGTGCTTTAGACCACTGAGCCATCTCACCAGCCCAGGCCCTCAATTTTTAAATGCATTATTCATGCCATTAAGTACATTCACGTTGTGTAACCGAAATTTTTTCCAAAAATTTTTACCAACCCAAAGAGAAACATAAATATTATACATATGAACTGTAATAGGGCAATGTCATTTATGGTTAAAAGCATTTAGGGCCAATAAGTACACAAAAAGGATGCTCAATAACACTAATTACTCAAGCAACAATGAGTTACCATGACACACCTGATAGGATGGTGACTATCAAAGAAAAAAAACCCATAAAATTGGAGGGATGTGAAGAAATTGAAATAGTTGTTCAATGTTGCAGGAATGTGTAATAGTGCACCCACTTTGGGAGACAGGTAGAATCACCACATGATCCCCCCTTTCTACTTTGAGTATGTCTCAAAGCACTCAAAGTGCAGTCTTGAACAGAGAGCCTCACGCCCATGTTCATAGCAGCATTATGCGTGAGAATGAGAAGGTGGAAGTAGCTCAGATGCTCCTTGACAGAATGAATATACACACAGTGAAATATTAGCTCTAGGAAGGAATGAAATTCTAACTCATGCTTCAGTATGGATGAAATTTAGATGAACTTGAAAACATTCATCTGAGTGAAACAAGCACGTCACAATGAAGACAAAGACTGTACGATTTTATTGATGTGAAGCACATAATCAAATTCACTGATTGGTGTTTGCCACTGGCTGGGCCACCAGCTGGGGTTTCGCAGAATTAATGGTGTTTGTTGGTTTTCATTTATGTATTTCATACAGGAGGTTGGGAAGTTAATTTTCAGCCTCCCCAACGCTGGGATTACAGCCGTGCATCCCCATACCCTGACTCCATCACCGGCTCTGCACATCCCCTCCCACCCCCTGGGAGGGGGCAGCATGGTATTTGGGACCAGGGATTGAACCCTGGTCTCTACACTTGCCAAAGCAGGCGCTTAGTCTGCTGAGCTATCTAGCCGGTCCTTGATTTTTTTTTTTTGTTTTGTTTTTTAAACAGACATTCTTTAAAAAACATTTTTTAAAATCTTATTTGGTACAAGGTCTCACTACGCAGCTCAGACACATAGTGAGCCTCCTGTCTTAGCCTCCCCAGCTCTGGGATTACAGGCATGTGCCATCATGCCTGGTTGGTTGGCATGGCACACATGTGGTTCCAGGACTGGCATGGAATGAGGTACTGGGGGTCAAACCTGGGTCCTTGAGCTTGGCAGGCAGGCGCTTAGACCGCCAAGCTATCTCCCCAACCCTAGAATTAATGTTTAATGGAATTGCGAGTTCATTTTCACAGATGAAGACCTCTTAGATGAGTGTTGGTGACAGTTGCATGACATTAAGAGTATTTATACCACTAAGTTGTACACTTAATAGTATGAATAAAATGGTACATTATACATTATCTGTATTTTGTCATATTATATAAATTGGAAAAATCTGAAATTTTCTGTCAGAGGTCAGCAAGTGGGTAAATATCTGGAATCATGCAAAAGACAAGATCCTTACAGTCAGGGAGGGTCTTGGAGGCGAGACCATGGAGGTGAGAGGCAGGGCACTCGAAGGCTTATCTACACTTTGTGACATTTAGACTCTAGAGAATGTTGGATCTCTAAGAATGATGCTGGGACCCATAACAGAATCATAGTGAGTCTGGTGTTAAAATTGTCTAGCTAGGGGTCTGCAGAAATAGGGCAGAAATAATCTGTGTCCAAACCACTACACATAATTTTAATATGCAGTCACCAAAAAAAATTACTTTAAAAACTTGGAGAAATGCTCCTTCAAAAAGGACATAAATGTATATAGTAGGCTGGGGCGCAGCTCAGTGGTAGAACAGTTCTTAGCAAGCGCCAGCCATTGTGTTCTGTCCCAGCGCAACGGTTTAAGAAAAAAAAAAAAATCACACACACACACACACACACACACACACGACCCAGGGGGAGAGAGAGAGAGAGAGAGAGAGAGAGAGAGAGAGAGAGAGAGAGAGAGAGAGAAATTTAAAAATGGGGATGTATTATATATAGCTCAGTGGAACAGCGCCCCTGGGCTCAGTCCCCAGTGGGGTGGAGACCGAAGTAAAGAAAGGTAAATCGGGAGAAGACAGGAAAAGAGAAGTTTATGGAAGCCGGGAGTTGGAGGACAGAAGGAAGAATCGCTAAGGAAATTACGATTGTGTAACAGGCGGTTATTGGCCCTAATCGAAATAATGAATCAGGTGCACACGCAGCTACACAGAGACCTAAACAAATACAATGTATTGCAACACCCCAGAGGATGCTAACATGTATAAATTGTTATATTGTGACCTCAACAGTTTTTTAATTGTGCAATGTCAAATGACAGCTGAGGCACGCAGCGCGCACGCAGGGAGGGCGTGGGCTGCCCAGCAGGCTGGGGTCTGGTCGGATTGTTGGCTCTGGAGCAGAGGTCGGGTCCAAAGGCAGAGCTGAAGGTTCTCACGTGTAAGGGGGTCGCAGGGTGGCCTGGAGAGTTCTAAGAGGGTGACTAAGGAGCGGGAGTGAGGAGGACCTGAACCGTGGGGACCTGGTTGCAGGGGATCCGCGCGCCTTGTTTCACCAGCTCTCTCGGAATGGGGCGGACACACGGTCTGGCCCGGGGACTGAGCGCCTCCCCCACAACTTCTGGCAGTATAGGTCTAGCACGTTCTGCGCCTCTCCACGCTCCACACATCCCGAGTTGAGTACCCTTGCGATTCCCGGGGTGCAGACGCCACCAACACTACAGAGCCAGGCCTGCCTGCAGAGCCGTCGCGGGACCAACCTGCGCCTGCGTGCGCTACCCTTGGCTGAGCCCGCCCTGCGCCCCGCCCTGCGCGCGCTCTGTCGGCGGGTACCTGGGCTCTCATAGGCTGGCTAGGAAGCCGCGCCCCGCCGGCCAACCAATGGGAGTGTGGCGCGCCCCGCGGCACGTGCACCCCCGCCCCACCGGGCCTGGTGGGAACCAGCAGGCCCTGTGGCTCGGAACACGCGGGGCGGGGACGCGCTAGATGGGGCGGGGCGGGGCGGGGGCGGGGCGAAGGCGTGAGGATGCGCTGATTGGTCGGTACTGCGTTCCGAGGCCACTGACGGCGGCTGGGCCGGGCCGCGGCTCCAAAACAAAGGGCAGGCGGCCCGCGGGGCGGTGGCGGGAGGATGCCTCGCACCCTGCCGGGGCGCCAACGGCCGCAACGAGCCCCGGGCCGCGCCAGGGCCGCCTGAGAGCGGAGCCTGCGCCGACCGAGGCCCAGGCCGGATGGGCGCTGCGGGTTGGGGCGCGGACCGCCGACGGCGGTGAGTACGGGCGGCCGCGACAGCAGCGCGGGCGGGCGCTGGGCGGCGACCCCAGGCTGCAGGGCTGCGGTCTTAGGGCAGTGGGGCCGGGAAGCACCTGTTGGCCTCTGCACGGCGGGGGTGCGAGCACGGTGGACCGCAGACTTTTTAGTTTTGATGTTTTTTTGTTGTGTTTATATTGGGTACGCTCCGTTTGGGAACAGACCGCGGAGCCGGATCTTTTTCACACCCCTTTCTTCTGTTGCCCTCCCTGCCTGCTGCCGCCCACAGCCCACCATGAAAAGATTTACAGAAAATGACGTGGATACCTACTGATTGTTTTTTTCCCTCCAAAGAAAGAAATGCAACTGGGGAGGGAAATAAGGACAAAAGATGTCTCCAGTAAAGGAGTGTTTATTAAGAGGGGACCTCTTTTTGAGTTGCTCACAAGAGGGTCATGACTACAGTGAACTGGCCTCATTGTTTACCACTTGTGCCATCAGGTTTCACTAATGCATAGCTTGCAGAAGCTAGAGCTTCAGGAACCTAATAAGAACCATCCTCAGCCCCCTGCCTATTTCGGATTGACATCTTTGATGTCCAAATTTTGTGCTCAGTTCTAAGTAGAAAGAAATCTAAAATTCCATTTGGGATAGGTGGTAGATGTGGAAGATGTCAGTCTCCCAACCCCAGCCCTTTCGGTTCTACTTCTTCTTCTATGTAAAACATACCCACAGTAACCTGCTGTGACTTGGCAGAGAATGTTATTCTTTTCACCCACCAGCCCCTCACTCTCCCAATCTCCTTCCCAGCCAGGTAGGCCAGAATCTTTCCAGGTGCTTCACCTGAGCAAGCTGTCCTACCCCCTCATGTGCACACCATTCCCTTTGGCCTGTGCTATGTTCTAGGAGGTGTAACAGTTGTGTGCGGAGCACCTGCCCTGTGGCAGAACTCACCCTGGGTGTCACTGAGTTTCACAGATGTGTGCTAGTCCCCTGGCCCTTCCTGTGGGCTCTTGGGGGACAATGGTGGCATGTTTGAGGAAAGTGGATACTCAGGATCCGCTGGACCCTTGTGCCCCCTCCCCTTGTACCTTCTGTTTAAGGGGTCAGAGGAAAGCCCAGCCTTACCACACACTTACAGCAGAGTCTGGCTGTTACTGAACATACACATAAAAATAACTGAATGATCCTGGTTATCAGTCTGACAGTACTCTTTATGTTAGTTTCATTTGGCTTGATTGGTGCTGTGGATTGAACCCAGGGTGTTAGGCATTCCAGGTGCATGTGCTACCCCTTGAGTTATAGCCTCAGCCTGCCTTTCCAATTTTGTTTTCTTTTTTGGTATTGGGGATTGAACCCAAGGCCCTTGTGCCGAGATACATCTGAGCTCTTTTTTTTTAGTTTAGTTTTTTTTAAATTTTGCTGCAGAGTCTTGCTAAATTGTCCAGACTGGGCCCAGAATGGCTATCCCCCTGCCTCAACTTCTTGAGTAGCTGGTATTACATACAGGTGTGCTACCACAGCTGGCTTGTTTTTTTCCATATGTGAAGCACCGACATTGTTAAAGCTGTTTATGCTGAAACTAGTGTTTCCTTCAACATCCATTGATGCTTACCTATCTTCACAAAAAAAGAAAAAATGTCCTGCTTTATTTTGTCTTGATTTACAGTGCAGCCAACCCCAAGCTTTGAGAATTCTGGTAAGCACTCTACCTCTGAGCCACAACCCTAGTCTAGGCTTCTTACTTTAAAGCTATTCTCTGATACCCTTCATTAGATATTTGGTTTGTTTCTGAGTAGTTAAATCTGACCATCTTTAAAGACTCTAGGAAATTTTTTTTTTTCCTTCTTGATGCTGGGAATTGAGCCCAGAATGTTCCTTATACATGGCCTCTACCACTAAGCCACATTCCCAAGCGGGAGAATTTTGACAAGTGACACTCACTAGAAGTTCTGAATGATCAGGATGGGGAGCTAAGGACTCAGGGGAGATCAGGGTGAGATGCGTTCAGGAAAAAAAATCAAGGAAAATAAATTCTGCCAGCTCAGGGGTGTTTCTCTATGATAGAGACCCTGGAATTCTTCTGAAAACCCATCAGCAAGTAATAATAAAATGAAAGGGCCAGCCAGATAGCCCAGCAGATTAAAGTGCCTGCTTAGGCAGATGCAGGGACCTGGGTTTGCTCCCCATCGGTGTAGCCCTCCGGGGCTTGTTGAGAGGCAATTGAGACTGGGCATGGTGAGGCACACCTGTAATCCAGTGCTTGGGAGGCTGAAACAGGATCACAACAAATCCAATATGTGTAGTGAGACCCTGTAGATCCTGTACTAAATATGTTTATAATAATAATAATAATAATATGAAAATCCTGGAGCTAACCAACTGTTGTCCACATCCATGAAAAGGTTAAGAGCCCCCATGCCGCCGCCATTATTTAGCAGCCTCCAGGCACTTGCAGAACCTTGGGATCAGGGCCAGGAGTCTGTGAGGTGTTGAGTTTGCTAGCCATCCTGTGACAATGACAGCTTGCTGCTGCCATGAGCAACGTGGCAGGAATTTAAACGTGACTGCGAATTACCCCTCTCAGCATTTTGTAAAAAATCTCTTAAATCTCTGGGCCATCTTGTAAATTGCTTGTTACTCCCATGTTGCACATTAGGTAACAGAATGATTCAAGGTCCCAGGGACAACAGTATGTGGCACATTTGAATCCAACTCTGGGAAGCCTCTCAACCCAAGCAAAAGTGCCTGCCCCTTTGTTCTGGTGACAGCATCATCCTGCCAATCATCACCTGCCTCTCTGCACACTTGGCCTAACTTCCTTGAGTGCTGAGACCCTTTTCTGGTTCTGCTTTGTATCTTTGGATTTTCCCTTGCCCTAAGAGAGGTCTTTGAATGTTTGATCGCATCTTATTCAACAGATGATTAAATAAAATAGTTTAAAATTCCCAGCCTCTTTTCTTCCACTTCAGTTTTCTAAGGGAGTATTTTGTATGGTTCCTACATCCTCCCCCTTCTTGATGTTTGCCAGAAATTAGGCTAGGATGTGTTTCAGGACTACAGCTGTGGGAAACTTTGTTACTAATGTAGAAATAAGAAATACATGGTGAATTCTTCCAAAAGAAACATTGAAGCTGGGTGTGGTGTTGGATGCCTATAATCTCAGCACTAGGGAGGCTGAGGCAGGAGAACTGCTGTAAATTCAAGGCCAGCCTAAATTACGTATGAGACCCTGTCTAAAAAGGCGGGGAGGCTGAGGAGATAGCTCAGTAGAATAAGTGCCTGCCTGGCAAGCACAGGGTCCTGAGTTCAATCCCCAGTACCGCCGAAAAATGTATGGGGCTGGAGAGATGGCTCAGTGGAATAAGTGCTTCCCTGGCAAGCACAAGGGCCTGAGCTCAATCCTCGGTTCCACAAACAAACAAACAAACAAAAGAATGAAGAAGGCTAAGTTGTAGACAGATAGTCAGCAGTCTTGTGCGAGGTGGAGGATGCAGGAATTGAGCAGTCAGCAGGGAGACGGGCATGGATGTGGGCCCTGAGGACGGCGGTGTCTCGACCACCAGCGGTAGAGGTGTGGGTTCTTGAGGGTTCACCTGTTACTGCCTGTGATTCGGTATTGCTTAGTGCTGGCCGGCAGGCTCTTTGGGAGTATTGTTCAGTACCTTGAGCCAGCACTCGCCTCTCTGTGATGGCAGTGCCTTTCACCTTTTTAGTCCCTAGGGCAGTGCCTTATGAGTGAGTGCTAGGAGAGGTGCAGCCAGCAGGGAGCTGAGGGGGAAAGGACCTGGGGGCCAGGAGCTGCTGGACAAGGCAGCACCGGGGGAAGGAGAGCCTACACCCGATTCTGGTTTGGCTTTGCAGCCTGTGACACCGATGGGCTCCTTCTATATGTGCCTGGTGGCCTCTTTTCACTTTATGACAACTTGAAAGGCTCTAGGGGTGAAAAAGTGAAGAAGGAGGGCCCCATCTGGGCTGCTGAGTGGAAATGGCGCCGTGCAAAGGCCAAGGCCAAGGGGAGAATGACCCCAGGCTGCCAGGGCTGCTGTGCCGGTGGGGGCTCGGCCGTAAGACGCAGGCAGCCACATCCAGTAAGTGTCAGAAACTGCTGGGGTTTGGTTTTATTTCTCAGTATTTCTGTCTTTAGAAGTGTGGTAACTGCACCATATGGACATGGGTCTGATTCACGGTCTCTTAAAATAGTCTTCTGTGCTTATATTTTAGGAGAGAAACTTCTGGAAGCCAGAAAATTGTTTTGCTTTTAAACCTTGCCCCAAGTTACTATCTACTGGTGGGGCGGGGGCGTTGAAAAACTGCCCTCCAGACCCAGGGGAACACAATGTCCTGCAGTAGACACGATTCACTTGTGTTGTCCAGGTTTACCATTCAGTGATTTGAAGTGGTTCCCGATTGGTCAGTAGTTTGCTTGAAAACTTGGCCATGATTTCTCCAGTGCAATAGCCAATGTCTATTAAAAGTTGGGTTAGATTAGGCAAGGTGACACACACCTGTAACCCTGTCATTCTGAAAAATTGAGGCAGGAGGATCTCAAGTTCCAGCCCAGCCTGAGCAACTTAATGACTTAGTGAGATCCTGTCCCAAAATTTAAAAAGGGAAAAAAAAGATTGGCGGTGTAGCTCAGGGCAAAGGTCCTATGTCAATCCATAGTACCACAAAAAATAATGAACTCTGAGCTATGCCAAGTCCTCTTTGAGTGCGGGCAAAAGGATAATGGTCAGGACTGAGAAAGCCTAAAATTTAAATTTGCATGTGAGCTTTGCAATGAGCCCTGGCCCTGCCTTTGAAGGGTGCCTGTGAGTGCTGGGCACAGACCCAGCGCAGTAGAGGCCATGGCAGGGAGGGGGCCTTGGGAGGCCGGAATGGGGCAGGCTCCTTGGGTGAGGCCATCTCGCGGGCAGGGCCCAGTAGTGAAGGTCTCCAGATGGATGAGTGTGAGATACGTCAGGGAAACGGCAATCTTCTGGTGATGGCCGTGCATGGCCCTGTGCTGAGCAGTGT